AACTCTTCAATCACTCTCTCTGTGACACTGTCATCTCTTGGTTTTCCTCCTATCTCTCCCAATGCTCATTCAGTGTCTCCTTTTCTGATACCTCCTCCCTTCGTTCTGTCTCTGTTGGAGTCCCCCAAGGCTCTGTACTTGGCCCCCTCCTATTTTCTCTTTATACTGCCACTCTTGGCAAATGTATTGCCTTATTTGGACACCCCCAGGCATAAAAGTAGGCTGATGACACTCAGATATACCTCTCCTTCCCAAACCTCTCCCCTGCCGTCCTGCAACGTATCACTGCTTGCCTTTCTTCCATCTCTGACTGGATGTCTTCCCGCTTTTTGAAACTCAATCTCTCTAAAACTGAACTCCTTGTCTTTCCTCCTCCTTTACTCTCCATTCAAGTCAGTGGTACACACATCAGTCCATCCTTGCAAGCGCGCTGTCTTGGCTTTATACTTGATTCTGGCCTCACAATTGAGCCTCATACCCAGTCTGTTACCAAATCCTGTAGATTTCACCTTAAAAACATAGCCCGCATCCGCCTCTTTCTTATGCAAGATGCTACTAAGTAGCTTGTCCATGCTCTAGTAATCTCTCACATGGATTATTGTAACTCTCTCCTGATAGGTCTTCCCACAAGTCGTATTGCCCTGCTACAGTCTGTAATGAATGCTGCAGCTAGAATGATTTTCCTCTCCTGTCGCTCCTCTCTCACCTCTTCCCTCTGTCAGTCCTTAAATTGGCTTCCTATATCCTATAGGAGTCAATTCTATAAAGCACTGACCAATTCTAGCCCCTCCTATATCTCTTCACTGATCCACAGGTAAGTCCCTTCTCGGTCTCTCTGTTCTGCCCGTGACCTTCTCCTGTCCGCTGCTCACACTCATATAGCCAACTCACACTTGCAGAACTTCTCGCAGGTGGCTCCATTCCTTTGGAATAGCCTACCTATGAACATCAAGCTCTCCCCTAGTCTTCAATTATTTAAAAAGTGCCTCAAAGCTCATCTCGTTAGGAAAACGTATGGCCCCCACATACCTGTCCCTTGCTCTCTCCTAAAGGGCAGCCCTCTATTCTCTCCTCCAGCCCTGCATGATTCCACTTTATTTGATTGCTACCTCCTGTCCTGTTTAAGCCCCACCTCCTATAGACTGTAAACTCATTTGAGCAGGACCCTCTTCAACCTATTGTTCCTGTAAGTTTTTTTAATTGTCTAATTTATTGTTAAATCCCCCCCTTTGATAATATTGTAAAGCGGTACAGAATATGCTGGTGCTATATAAGTACCAGTTATAATAATAATATATATTGCTTCTATAAAGAATGGTTGGAACATATCCAAAATCATATGCCCTTTTTTCATCATTTTTTTAGAAAACTGATGACTAGTTATGCCCCTCCAATGTGTCTACACTTTTGTTCCTAAGACAGAAAGATCATTCCTACTTATGCATGCAGCATAATTTATAGATGGCATTCAGAAATATCTATTATGCTGCTTATAGAATTCATTCCAAAAATCTCAATAAAATGGACCAAATCCTGTGTATACTCTTTTACTTTTTGTATAACATATTTACTTGTTCAAGAAACATAATACAATAATGAAAGTGAAAAAAGGAAAATCTTACTCTGCCTGTATTCTGCAAATCACTATTAAATTACTACTGGCACATTAGCAAGTTACAAATTTTAGATGCAATTACAGCACACAAAAAAACAAAAAACTGAAAAGTCAGGCTAAATGCTATTACCCCTCAATCAAACACTGTGAGGAAAGTCATTGTGGGAATGTTGTGTGTTCCGTGATAAGATGAGGTCCTATAGACCTTGCAAAATTTTACATTGGGTTCATTCAATATTAGGATGTCCTTGAGGTCCCTGCTTATTACACACTTGTTTTATTTTACATAGGACAATTAATTTGTATTATATATATATATATATATATATATATATATATATATATATATATATATATATATATATATATATATATATATATATATATATATATATATATATATATATATATATATATATATATATTAATTAATTTAAAGTTTTATTTCTGCACAAATATGTTTTGTTGACCACACATTAATGCATGATTTAGACCAGGGCTGTCCAACCTGCGGCCCTCCAGATGTTGCTGAACTACAACTCCCATGATTCTTTCAATGAAACAGATAGCCAGGGAATCATGGGAGTTGTAGTTCAGCAACATCTGGGGGGCTGCAGGTTGGACAGCCCTGGTCTAAATCATGCATTAATGTGTGGTCAACAAAACATATTTGTGCAGAAATAAAACTTTAAATAAATTAATTAATATATATATATATATATATATATATATATATATATAAAAATCCAACAAGTAGCTGCACTCACGGTAGATAAAAAATCTAAATTTATTGAAGATAAGCTAAAACATCCACGATCAATGTTTCAGTCCTACAAGGACTTTCCTCAGGATCAACAAGGGTAATTTGAGCGTGAGTGCAGGAGCTCCTGGTATTTTTATATATATATATATATATATATATATATAGACTTGGCATACAAATTAATTGTCCTATGTAAAATAAAACAAGTGTGTAATAAGCAGGAGCCTCAAGGACATCCTAATATTGAATGAACCCAATGTAAAATTTTGCAAGGTCTATAGGACCTCATCTTATCATGGAACACACAACATTCCCACAATGACTTTCCTCACAGTGTTTGAACTAGTGTTAGACACTAGTTCAGCCATATGGAGAGCAACTGGACTTTGCAAGGCTGGCCATGTTGTTGTTCCAAACAGTGTATGGTGTACTCCTGATGATCCCGGAGATGGTCTGCTGGGGGAAACGTGCGTTGAGTGCATACCTTGGAGCTTTCTGAGTGGGGGGTCTTTTCACACTGATGACTTATATTTAACTTCACTACTCCCCCCTCCTGGGGCTCCTTCTAAATTGGATCTCTCTAAGAATTAGACGTATTTGGGAACAGAGGCATTTTCCCTAATTTGTACACTAACTTTTATTTGTGAACATGGAGGGGACATGTGCCGGTTGCTAAATATGTAAGGATTAGAAATGTATATTTAACGAGACTAGGGATCAAATGGTGCATGCACCCTCACTGTCAATCACATTTTGATATGCACAGATATTAGTCTGCAAGTTTAACCATTTTTCCCCACGTTATTATTACTATTACTCTGCTGCAAATATTCTAAACATTTTGGTCTGTCTGCAAATTCAAACTCTTTGGTCAGTCTGCAAGTTTAACCATTTCTGCCTATACTACTATTACTTTAAGGCAAATACTCTAAAACTTGTTGAACACATAACTGCATAGAGGTATGTGATACACAGTTGCAACAGTTAACTGTGCAGTGTATAAGTGGTATACTTGATACATTATTATCCACTATCCTACCAGGAAACATATGTGCTTAAATGTGTACTATAACTTTTGACTCCTTTTGTATCTCACCAACTTAAAGAGATACTTAGAATTTTATCATAATTTTGTATTATTATTTTTTTTTCACCCTCTTGTTCTACTTTATACATTATTTCTTTTCAAGTATTTATCTACAGACTATAGCTCTATACACCCCCCTTTTTTGGGATATTTTAACGTCAATTAATAAAATCTATATTTTAAAGTGCTCACACCACACTACTCCGTTTTGGTAGTACAATTACAGGGTTCAAACCCCTTGACAAAGTGATGAAGCAAAGTTTCTCACTTGTTCTCAACTAGTGGTAGACGAGATAGATCTCTCTTTTCCCTATTTTCCAACCAGTGTATGGTGTTGCAAATTCTAAATTCCTGTCTTGAGCACGTATAACCTGGGTACACACAAACCACGTTTTGAAACAGTTTAATCGTGAAGTTGCCTCCAGTGCCTATCTCAACTACCCCACTGTCGCATCCAGCTTCTGAAATGTTAGATTCAGGAAGCGCAGAGTGCCGCTGATTAGGGTACCTTTTTCAAGCCAGTTTTGTGAATGGGGGTAACGATTGGCTGTGAGTGTAATCTGACCACTCTCAGACAATCATTGGCACCCGACCCGGCAGGGTCAGAAACAGGATGCCATTGGGGGTAGTTGAGATCGGCGCTGGCTGTAACTTTGAGGTTAAATTGTTTGAAAATGGTTTAACCCTTGAGGTTGCTTTGGTGCTTGGAGTGTTCCTTTAACCCCTTAAGGACCAGACATCTGGAATAAAAGGGAATCATGACATGTCACACATGTCATGTGTCCTTAAGGGGTTAAAGGGACACTGTAGGCATGAAGACCACTTCATCTCATTGAAGTGGTCTGGCTGCAGTGTGCCTTTTGCACTTAGTGCTGCAATGTTAAACAGTGCAGTTCCAGAGATACTGCAATGCTTACATTGCAGCTCTAAGTCTGCCCACAGTGGCTGTCTACCAGACAGCCACTAGAGGGTTTCCTGAATAGAAACTAACCTTTGGTAAAATAATTATGCTACAGATTGTATCTTTCAAAAACTGCCAATGGCTTATATGGATTTAAATTGTTATAAAATTGTGTGTGTTCCTTAAAGATATTTTAAATGGAAACTTTAAAAAGGTGAAACACACTAAATTATTATGATGGATTCATATGATATTTGGAGAACTTGCTACAAATGAACATTTTTCCTATGGATAAACTTTCCAAATACATCCTGCATCCAACAGAGGTAACTTTAAATGTAATAATTAGTGTGTGGAATATATACTTTAGAGACGTGAGAGGATTTACAAACAATGTTTGATTTTAGTCCCAAAAAAGACCATGCCTCAAGAAAGTTAACATGTTGAAATGGCATGGAATAAATGTACACATATATGTTGATGGGTTGATATTATGAGGATGGAGAAAGACGGTAGAATCAGTGGTTAATCAGTTATCACCAACAACGCCCTAACAAGTTGTAGATGCAGGGTGGAGTCCATCCTGTAACCTTGTGGTAGCATGGTTTATGCATAATTATTCATACAGCTGTCACTTCAGGACTATGATCTTCTGAATGTAACATCTGTATCGCTCTGAGCACATCACTGCCCATCAACAAACAAGTAAGTGAGGATACACATTGTTGGAAATGAGTGTGGGATAGACTAAGGAAAGAGGATGATTGTCCAGAGAATATGTCTTTATGTTGTATATAGATCTAGATAGATGGATAGATAGATAGATAGATAGATGGATGGATAGATAGATAGATAGATAGAGAGACAGAGACAGACAGATTGACAGAAATAGATAGACAGACAGACACAAATAGATATATATATAGATAGATAGATAGACAGACAGACAGACATAGATACATAGATAGATAGATAGATAGATAGATAGATGATAGAATAGATAGATAGTGTCCATGTGGAATTTCACTTATAAACCAACAGTATATCATTCACTGTACAAATAAATCTTGGGTACATATAGTGATGTAGTTCATATTTTAATGTTAACTATAATGTAACTATAATGCTGATATAGTTACTTTCTAGCAGAATTAAATAAATGACATATGGTGTATAATTAGTGATGTCCCGAACGGTTCGACGGCATCCATTTTGAAGCTGCATTCTTAGTGAGCTGTCCAGGAGGTGGGAGGGTCTGGGAGGAAGGGTCTGCTGCTGATTGGCTGGAATGTGTCTGCTGACTGTGAGGTACAGGGTCATATGTTCGCCGTCCACGGCGAACCGTTCGGGACATCACTATGTATAATTATGGACAGTTAAAAGTAAACAATTCTCCCTAGGGACCTTAAACTCTACTAAATTTACCTGACACCTTGTCACAAGGGGTTTTCAGTCTAGTGATACAATGGTATAATATGTTTCATCCTATTAAAAGTTTACAATTGCAGCTGGAACATTTACTGTAATTGGTAGTGTTAATTATAACAGTGTTGAGGATCCTATGGCAAGGGGCTTGCAACAGAGTGGTATCATTTAAAGATGCATAATTCAACTTGCAGGCCAAATGTAGTAAGTCATAATGCACTAACAATGCAGTGGTATAATGTAAGCTTATGCCTTATTCACAATAAAGAAAATATTAACTGAGATGGGAAGATTCTCTATACTGTAAACGCTCACAGTATGTGGTTTGAATTTAGCTTTTTTTTTTTTTTAAAGCTGCACAGCTTGCTAGTTAGTAAATAAACTTTACTATATGTTGCATCTAAGAAGTATTTATGTTGGTGTTGTTGAGTTACAACTCAAATGATACTCAGTCTGCAGTTTCATTAAATGTAAGGGTTTATTCACTAAATGTAAAGTACTGTGATTTTAAAATCGCATTGGAAAATTAGCTGATGTGGAAAAAATACTCCCCAGTTCAGCTATAGACATAGCTTGGTTATTTTAGACTGAATTTTGCAATTCAGTTTTCAGTTTCCCCTAATTCACCATTTAGTGAATATATACTTTAGCCAGCTGTTTCCTAGCCAAAAGCTAAGCCAGCTTCAGGTTAAATAAAAAGATAAAATAAACATAAACAGAAAACTAGTGATCTAGTGATCTAGTTGTGACAGTCTAGTAGTCAAATGACCTAATGTCATATGCATTAAAGAGACACTCACAATATATCGTTGTATTGTGGGCACTTCTGCTTTCCTAAAGGTTTTATGTGTCTGAGTCTGTAAATCTTCTGCTTTATTTTTTTACAATTTTAATAAGTGCTGTTTTCAATGAGAAGCCTTTTTATTGGGGAGGGCTTGCAGATCTGCAGCTTTTGCAAGCTATTGTTTGCTTACTCCAAAGAAAACATTAAGAATCAAATACCTGGGGATGTAGCTACTAAATACTTTTAGTAGAAATCAGTGGAATGTTCCTTTAACAATTCGTGGGGTCTATAAAATGAAGGATGGCATCCCTTGTGCACCAGTTTTAAAGTCCAATGGTAAAATGTAAAGCAAATTCCACATTGAGCTTGCTGTTAATGAAGAAAGCTTGCAAAGCGCGTTAATAAACTCTATAACGGAATTGCATTAAAGGGACACTCCACTGCCCGAATACAAAATAAATAAAACTCGCTGTTTATGAGATATACCCCAAATAAAAACTTGCATTAATATATATTTTTCATTGGGGATATATCTAAAATCAGCTTGCAAAACCTGCAGTTCTCTTGTATGTTGCCTTTTGCAAGCCCTCCCATTCTAACCCCGCCCAGGCTTTCTGTGGTTGTCCAATCACAGACTTCCCAATACCGCTCAATTAGAAGTCTTTGTAAGTCATGTACTCTGGGCAATTGCTTCCTCTTGAGGTCAGCTACATTGAGCTAATGAAATCAGGAAGTAATATTACCTGTTGTCTGGTTGAAAGTCACTGGGGTTTAACCAGGTTAATTTATGAAAGTGTCAATTTCTATTGAAATTGTACTTTTTGCAAAATGAAAAAAGAGGACACACTCTTCCCACATAAAGCTTTTTAGCAAGCTGAAGTTGTTTAGTGGTCTGGAGGGACCCTTTAAAATCAGTTTAGTATATTGTTCACAGCCCGAATTATAAAACTGTGAATGAGATTTTCAGTAGCCTGATAACAGAGGTTGTATGGCCCCTATTATCTCTGAAACTACATCACACCCCACAAACCACAATTTGAGACCACAATTTGAGACCACATTGAAGAGACCATTCTGGAATAGAACGACCTCTCTACTGCCACTGCTCTTCACTTGTGGATTTGCAGCGGCATTAACTCTAAAGGTATACTTTTATTTTAAATGTATTATTTATTTTTTTGTAGTTATTATTATTATTATTATTGGCATTTATATAGCGCCAATGAAAACCTTTTTCAAACATAGTGGAGTGTGGAGAAATAATTTATTAAAAAAAAAAAAAACACAGCAGAGACTTATAGGATAGACACTGTATATATGTGTCTCAGAAAACATGGTGGATCTTGTCACCCTGGTTATGAAGGAAGGGGGTTGCTTCATTGCTTGTGTAGTGATGATGGCTGATTAGAAAGGAGGGGTGTGTATGTCTAGCAAAAAAAAAAAAAAAAAGGGGATTTTCAGGAGGGATGGTGGCCAGCTGTCTAGCACGAAGGTTATGTGGCTAGCAAACTAGGTGAGAAGTTATTTAAATGGCTAGATCAAAGGAATAGTGGCTGGATAGATGCAGGGCAAGTGGATGAATGGGAGAGGGATTGTATAAATTTTTTAAGAGAAAAGAAAGGTGGCTAACGAGAAGTATGATAACCAGTAAATATGGGGGAGATTTCTAGTTAGCAGGCAGCTTGAACAGCAAACACGGATGAAGACTGTCTACCTTGCTGGCATTATGAGCATAAGACAGAGGTAACAGTTGGATGACCCACAAACGGTGAAAATGTCTATCTAGAAGGCAGAGTGAGTAAAAAAGAAAGAGGGTGGCTAGCATGCTGGGCTGCCAACAGATATTATTTTGCAGAACCCCCTGGCACACAAACACAGACAAAATCACTAACACACATAAACTATGCAAGACACTCACAGAGATCTACAAATAAGTACACTGATAGACAAACACATTCTCAAACATACACTGCTACATACACAGATAAACATTGCAACACACACCATGACACAAACATTAGCACAGAAACAGAGATACACAGTCACTCACAAACTTATGTACAGATACAATGACATGTACACAGACACAAACACGCACAAACTTACACACACCCTCCTGTTTCCATTCTGTTGGGTGGAGGATGGTGACATCACTGGGATCTAGTGAGAGCTGACTGCAGCATGCCAGTTTTACCACTCTACCTTATGCGACTCTGTGTGCAATAGCAGGAAGTTACATGTAATCACATCTTCCCACATCTGCCGCACGATATGTGGTCTGGTTAGGAGAGATATTAATATCCCCGCAACTGAACCACATAGCATTAAAGGTACCCAAACAGGTCAGATCACATCCTAGAGCCAGTACCTGACAAGAATGTAGGTGTTAAAGGACCACTCTAGGCACCCAGACCACTTCAGCTTAATGAAGTGGTCTGGGTGAAAGGTCCCTCAAGGATTAACCCTTTTTTTTATAAACATAGCAGTTTCAGAGAAACTACTATGTTTATGATAGGGTTAATCCAGCCTCCAAATCCTCTACTGGCTGTCTCATTGACAGCCGCTAGAGGCGCTTGCGTGCTTCTCACTGTGAAAATCACAGTGAGAAGACGCAAGCGTCCATAGGAAAGCATTGTAAATACTTTCCTAAGAGACCAGCTGAATGCGCGCGCAGCTTGTGCCGCGTGTGCGCATTCAGCCGAAGAGGCGGATGGGAGGCGGAGAGAAGGAGTAGAGCTCACCGCCCAGCGCTGGAAAAAAGGTAAGTTTAACCCTTTTCCTCTCCCCAGAGCCCGGCGGGAGGGGGACCCTGAGGGTGGGGGCACCCTCAGGGCCCTATAGTGCCAGGAAAACGAGTATAGTGGTCCTTTAATGCCATGCTGGCATCCGTGCTAGCATGGATAGTGACATACACACAGACATAGACATACATACAGACATACATTCACATACACAGCTCATTTTCCAGCCACCCTCCTGTCTCTTGATAAAGGCTACCAGGAGGAGCCGAAACGTTGGGGGATTGTTTGTGACTCGTGTTTCTGCCCTTATAGGCTTGTGGAATTTGGTAAATATACTGTTTAACTTTTCTGCCTTGGGGGGCGTGGCTTGGGCGCCGGACGAAATGGCGGCGTGAACCACGAGCTCCCGCCCGGCTCCGATCACACACCCGCCTAACCAGCTCCACAATAGCGATAATGGGCAAAACCAACAAGCCCCAACAGGCTGCACCGGCCGTCAGCACGCCGAGAGGGTCACAGCCAGCCGGCATGCGCCAGTACCTCACAACACAGGCCGACCAAGCTCCCCAGGCCTCGAGTGACACAGCAAGCCTGGGCCCAGGCCGCCCGACCTCACCCAGGGACGGACACCACGAACAGGTACCAAACACCCCTGACAATACCCTACCCCAGCTGGACTGGGCAACTCTGCTAAACAACCTACCCACAAAAAATGACCTGAAGGAGGCCAATGCCGCCCTCCACAAATCTATCACTGGGGAGCTCCAGGCCCTGAGGGAAGACATGCAGGGGCTCCATCACAAATTGGCCCAGGTGGAAGCAGATTGCGACCACGTGATGTCGGCGCAAAACGCCACCACGAGCACCATAAAGCGGCAGGAAACACAATTGCGCCAAATGGCCCTCCATTTAGAGGACTTAGACAATCGGGGGAGACGTCAGAACATCAGAGTTCGGGGGCTTCCAGAAGAATGCGACCAAACTACCCCATTAAGGGACACGCTCACGGAAATTTTTAATGCCCTCCTGCAAAGGCCGAACACGGCGCCCATCGAATTTGTAAGGGCGCACAGAGCACTCAGACCCAGGGGCCCACCTGACTCCCCTCCTAGAGACGTAATATGCTGTCTGACGCACTTTCAAGTGAAGGAGGATATCCTGAAGAGCGCCAGGGCTCAGAGCCAAATCATCCACAATGACGCTGAGATCCAACTGTATCCAGACCTTTCCCCTGCAACGCTGGCGTATCGACGAGCCCTGCGCCCACTCACGCGGACATTGCAGACTAACAAGATCAGATACAGATGGAATTTCCCCACCGGACTACAGGTCACCACAAGCAATGGCCCCTTCACGGTGAAGAGCGAGGGAGATCTGAAAGACCTGACGAGAGAACTGCAACTCCCAACGATACATATGTCCTGGCCAGACCCAATGGCTTTCTACGCCTTCTCACCGGAGGTACAACGCCAGCCGCAACAAACCTCCAGACCCAGAAGAACGAGACAACAGACAACGCGCCCCACGGGCACCAACATGTAGAAAGACGCACACTACCTGTCCACCCTGCCGGGAAACCACACGGCCCAGCAATGAACTGGACAGACACTGCCCGTCCCTGACCAGAACACATGGAACTGGCACTACCGAAACCCTCAAAACCGCAAGTATATAGCCCAAGGGGCAACACACTCACTAAGACCCCACACGGACATACAGGCCAAGAGACATAAAGAGATACACTGAATCCTGAGACCCAAGCGGCAAGATCGGCGCAGATGCTTGAGCATGCAGTGCCCGCAGGCCTGCCAGGCCACCCATGGACTAAATGCACTCACACTAGGGAGGGGGGGGAAGTATCAGGGACCCAAAAAACTCTTAGTACCAACACAACAGTGAGAGGGATTGGAGGGGGGGTGCCCGCCCCCCTGGCCGCGCCCGGCCGCCGGGGCCTAGCCGCGCTGTAATGAACCACGGGGAGCAGGCGGGCGGCTCCGCCGTCGGGGCGCGCCCGGGGTGGGGGCTCCGACCCCACACCCGAGACAAATGGGTAGCGACAACACCAAGCTGACCAAACTACAACCACCTGCCGAACAGTCACACACCTCTAGAACAGGGGGAGGAAGCTCAACACACCAGGGAACCATACGACGGGCGCACCCCATAAGGCACAGAGACAGGGGGACAAGAACACACCAGCTAGACCCACGCCTATGGGAACAACCTCAGTCTCTCACCCCAGACAGGGACACCCACACCTCCCCATAAATGTAGGGAACAGGGCGTTGAGACACAAGGGACACAAGAACACACTAGATAGGCGGGCGGGTGGGAACCTGGGACGCAGGGGGACAAAGGTAAACAGCACACAAAATTGAAATGTGAAATGTTAGAATATTGTTAAGTTTTCACCTGTTGTGACCTGAAACCAAAATGTTAATAACGCTGTTAATGTTTATGTTTGTAACCCAATCACAAACCAAAAGGACACGTGCATAAACACTCATTCACGCAAGCCCCAGAACCACCACACCCCGAGGCGGGGAACCACACGCGAACTCCTACGGAGTAATCACTGAGGAGCCACATAGGGAAGCCACGAGACGAGATACACCACAAGGACACTGCGCCAGGCGACTGGACACCCAACCACCGCCCAGTAGGCGAGGCGTCACCCGAAAGGTGAGCGTTGCACGGACACCACAGGTGGTGCCGGGCTCTGTCGCTCCCCGACGCTACTACCTAGTCGCCACGCACTGTGGCGCAAACCACGGAGACCTCTGAGAACCTCTCGGACTACTCCAATACCTCAACCCCTTGATCCTTACCTAAACCCCAACACCCGATCCCCCAACCCGACACTGACAGCTGACTGTGAGACCCCTGAGACTACACACACCAAAGGCACGCAGGACAAAGTCATTTCCACAACACCCGACGACAACGACCTGACTTGGCGGGATGGCACTGACCCCAGACCACCTACACATCCTTACAATCAATGCAAAAGGCCTAAATAAACCAGAGAAGAGAACAGGAGCACTGAGAGACTTTCACAAACAGCGGGCTTCTATAGTAATGATACAGGAAACCCACTTTAAAAAAGGGAATAGACCCAAACTGACTAATCAGCACTACACACAAGGTTACTATAGCGATTTTCAAGGGGGTAAGGCCAGGGGGACAGCAATACTCCTCCACAAGAGGGTGCCGTTCCAGGAGGGGGGATGCAAAACGGATGACGAAGGAAGATACATATTCCTTAAAGGGAAGATCGTGGGACACCAGTACACATTCGCAAACATCTATGCCCCAAACACACAACACTACCGCTTCCTCAAACAGACACTTCGCAAACTTCAAGAATTCGCGGAAGGGACTTTAATACTAGGGGGCGACTTCAACATAACTCTTGACCCATCATGGGACAACTCATCGGGCACCTCCCACATCCCCACTCAACAACTCCAAACAGTTAAATCCCTACTCCGGAGTCGACGACTCGTGGACTGCTGGAGAGCCCACCACCCAGACGTAAGAAACTACACCTTTTACTCCCACCCACACAACTCTTATTCCCGGATAGACCACATCTACACCACACACTATGACCTCTCCCTAGTGTCTGAAGTAACAATAGGAGTGGCCACATGGTCAGACCACGCCCCAGTCTCACTAAAACTTAAATCACCACTTTACCGCCCCACGACCTCGAAATGGAGATTGAACGAATACCTACTCACTAAACTAGAGGTCACAACCCTAATAGGTGAGAAAATCAAGGACTACCTGACAACTAACACAGCAGAGCAAACATCCCCGACGATTCGATGGGAAGCACACAAAAGCGTGATACGAGGCCACTACATACAACAGGGGGCAATACTGAAGAAACAGACTGAAGCCCGACTACAGGCACTGCTGACCAAGATACAGGAGACAGACAATCAAAATAAACAAACCCCGAACCACACACACCAAACCCGACTCCTACAACTGAGACGGGAACTAGCCTCACTACTGCAGGCTAAACATCACAGAGACGCAACAAGGCACAAAGCCTTCTTCACAGTACACGGGAACAAAAGCGGCAAACTTCTAGCCGCGATGCTGAAAAAGCAGAGGCAACACACATATATTGATAAAATTAGAGATAAACAGGGCACCCTACACCGCCTCCCGACAGACATCATGAGAACATTCCGCACGTATTACACCGATCTTTACACGCTCCCCCAACCGAAGACCAACGGGGCGACAACACACCTCAGAGACTCTATCCGGGCCTACTTGACAAAATACCAGACACCGACACTTGGCGCGGAGATAGCGGAGGTCATTGACGAACCCATCACAATAGAGGAACTAGCTCTAGCGGTTAAACAAACCAAACCAGGCAAAAGCCCGGGACCCGACGGCCTACCGACCAAATATTACAAGACATACGCTACAGACCTATATCCACTCATGATAGAAGCGTTCAATTCGATACGAGACGGAAACCATTTCCCCAGACAAACACTAACAGCCCACATTACTATTATCCCCAAAGACGGCAAAGACAGAGAACAATGCGGAAACTATAGACCAATCTCACTTATAAATAGCGACATTAAACTACTGGCCAAAATCCTGGCGACCCGACTCACGCAACACATCCCATCACTGATCCACCCAGACCAGGTGGGATTCGTGACAGGCCGAGAAGCCCGAGACAACACCATCAGGGCACTCACCCTCATGCACGGGACAGGAGGCACGAAAGGGGGCCTTATCCTGCTGTCAACTGACGCAGAGAAGGCCTTCGATAGGGTCGGCTGGACATATCTATTTGAAACACTCGCCCATGCGGGACTAGGGCCACAAATGCGACGCTGGATAGAGGCATTGTACCGAGAACCCACGGCCCAGGTGCTGGTCAACGGGGCGTTAACTGATGCCTTCACAATACATAACGGCACGAGACAAGGCTGCCCCCTCTCCCCACTTCTGTTCGTCCTTGCCCTGGAACCATTCCTCACACACATCCGACACAACCCAGACATAACCGGACTGACAACAGGCAACACGCAACACAAGGTAGCTGCGTATGCAGACGACCTACTCTTCATGGTAACGAACCCTGAAATTTCCCTCCCAAACATACAGAGGGAACTACAGCTATATGGGGTAATCTCCAATTTGAAAATTAACTACGGCAAATCCTATGTCCTTAACGTAAGCGTCCCTACTGCACGGGCGAACCCCCTCCGACAAAGCTTCCCCTTCCAATGGGCCGAACATAAAATTAGATATTTAGGAGTCTGGCTGACCAATCGAAGTGAGGACATGTTCAGGGAAAATTTCACAGATACACTCCAGACGTTCCAAAAAGACATGCGAGAATGGTCGTACCCCCACATCTCATGGCTAGGGAGAGTCCAAGTAATAAAAATGAAGTTCCTACCACGCCTCCTATACCTCCTCCAGGCCATCCCCATCGAGATCCCGGGCCCCTTTTTCGGTACCCTTAGAACAGAAATGACCAGATACGTATGGAACGGACGGAAACCTAGAGTGAAATTCGCTACCCTGACACGACCTAAGGATAAAGGAGGGTTAGCCCTCCCAGACCTCCACTTATACTATGTGGCCACACACCTCCAGAGAATTGTGGAGTGGTCAAAAGACGGCGTGCACAAACTCTGGAAGACGGTAGAAGAGGCGGAAGCAGGCAGACCACTCTCGGGACTACCCTGGGGGCGCGAACCGACAAAATGGGGCGAAATGTCCATATACACAAAACACACCATGAAAGTATGGAGGAGGATAGCGAGGAAGGGGGCCATGTCACCATACCCCTCCCCCCTTCTTCCTCTGACGCACAACGTCGACTTCCCCCCGGGATTAGACCCAAGAGCCTTTAGAGACATCCTCCCAGACCCACACCCACGCCTACACCATGTCCTGCAGGGAGAGAAATGTAACTTTTCTGCCTTTTTGGTCACTGTTACATTTTATATGTAAGATTTGGATTTGTATTATAATAAAATATATTTAGATATATATTATTGTGTTAGTTGGTGTGCATTCCTTTCTTTTTTGAGTATTTGCTTTATTGGTATTTAAGGGAGTACCTTCTTGGAATAGCACCCACAAGTGTGGTGGCAAGTATATTAAGTGTCTCTCCACATGTTGTATTCTTTATGACCCTCCTGTCTCTTACCTTGTCTTTGCAGGAGGGTGGCTGGGGCTGATGGGACTGGGAGTCGGCTGGCTCTCCCTCTTCATTGCCATGATCACTTCCTCCCAGCATCACTTGCGCTGCGGCGGCATTTATTTTATTTTTTAAAGGGGCCCGGTCGTGCTATACCATGGCCACAGCGATGACCGGGCCCCTGAAGATATGGGGCCCATCGGGTGGACCTAAGTGCGTGGGCCACCCGATGGGCCCCATCAGCGTGCGGGCCCTGCTGGAACTGCACCGGCGGCAGTTCCGCCGCTACACGTGGGGCTCGTTATGGTTGTCACCCCCTGATGGCAGCCCTGGATAGTGTGTAGATAGAAAGAAGAAAAGTAATATAATGAAGGTACTTGGAATGGTCATCATTTAGAAGTAGTAAAGGTAACATGGTATAGTTTATCTACTAAACAGCAAACTCTTTAGACAGCCACTAGACATGGAGTTAATCCATAAAGGTAATTATTGCCATTAATTAAAACTGCAATAATTACCTAACCAGGGTTAAGGGACCTGAAAATAGTTGTCTGGGTGCCTATGGTGTCTATGGTGTCCCTATAACACCAAATATTAAATTTTTTACTTAAACTGACTTTTTTTACTTGAACTTTATTAATTCAGTTTTCATTTCTTTCCAGTTCACTAATTAGACAACAAATCCTGTACACAATCAAGAATGATTGGTAAATGCATAATACTCTAACCTACAAGCAAAATTATTCTCAGATTTTCTGCTGAGCCGATTCAGTAGTAGATAGGTCAGTAAATAGTTGCATAGCTGAAAAGAGACAGTCAGATCTTTCCTTGGATCAAGAAGCTGTTACCACACTGTAGTTCAACTGTCTTTTCTCTGTTGTCACACTATATGTATCCACTGTAGACTATTTTCATTTTAAGACATTGCAACACAAGCTAAAACCTGTCCAAGGAACATTAAAAAGTTATAATTTATAGATTACCTTGTTGAAAGCAGGTAGGTATGCAGAGGTGTACTAGAAAAAAAGGTGCTACAAAAGGCTTACAAGCTATTTGCACTGGTGAAAACCATCATACAAAAGGGACTGCAATCCAATGATTTAAAGAGAAGTTTTGATTCAAGCAACTTAAAGGCATATTCTATCTAAAAATGTGAAAAGTTAAATGCATTTATTTGAGGAACTTTAATTCCATAAGGGTAATTAATAACCATTCCTTAATAAGATGCTGTTATTGTGACAGAAAGGAAATAGTAGACTAAAGAGCGATCCACAATCATAAATGTTGCTGGGAAGGGGGTCATCTGAAGAACTGAATGTGGGGCAATTAGCCCTGGATATTTAAAGTTGGTAGAGTGGGCAGAAGGATATTTTTTTATTGTTCATCAGGCAGCTGCTTTGCAAAGCAGCCATGTATTCTAAAAAGCAAGATCAGTAGCATAATACTCCACCAGGCCACTTAAGGGGAGGGTTAATGTGCCTTAGGTGACTGTCAGAACGGGGAGCTAAAGAACAAAATTTTGATGCACACCCCTCAGTTAGTGAAGTGTTACGGGAATCCATTAAAGGAACACTATAGGGACAGAAACACAAAAATGTATTCCAGACTCTATGGTGTTAAAAACACCATTTAGCCCCCCTGGCCCCCTTGCTTTTCAAAATATAGTAAAAGCTTACATTCACTCTAGTCTGCTGCTGCTGGTTCTGCCCCTGATCTGCATACTTGGATGACATTATCAGAAGTGATTCTCTCAGCCAATCACAATTTCTCCCCATAGGAAAGCATTTGTGTGACGAGACCAATCTCGCCACTGTGCATTGGAGGAGCCTGGTTGCCTGCCTGCTCCCTTTAGACTACGGCCCCATGTTGAAACGCTTGATTTTCCCCTGCAAAGACAAGAAAGCCGGGTCATTCAATGCTTGCCCTGTTTGAGCGGTGATACCCCAGATAGCTATGCCATGGAGCCCATTCGTATAATGAAAGACTATGGGAAAGACTTTGGCTCCATGGCAATTGAACTGTATGTGTGTGATCTTAGCGCCATTCAGTAATAATGTGCGCTCAGATATGAGCTATCTGGGGATATGTTGAATGTACCTGTTTTATGCAATGGCTGCACAGTTATATATTTTTATGTATTTTATTGTCTTTTGCTGCCATGTGCTTAATGGAGTTTTGCCTCTGTCCTTGGAGATAATTGGATTACTTCCCAATTATCTCCAGGATAGAAGACTCAGTGGAACTGGTTTTGGGCAAAAAAGCCATGCTTCATTTGGTCACAAAGGACTACGATCTATCTTTTGAACCACTGGACCAATTTGTATGATTTTGACATATGTTTGTATTTGGAGTATGCTGATTTTGAAAATGTAAGTGAATGTGATGCATACTTTTAAAGTTATGAATAATGTGGAAAAACTGTACTTCTCTGCCTGTGATAATTACATTACCCATTGTGTAAGGTAATTGTATCACAGGCAGAGGGGAGGATTTTGTGTGGGAGTGTCTGAGTGTATTGTACGTGTTTATTGGTTGTTTTCCAAAACCCTGTGGGTGGTACTAATGTGTAAGAATGTGTATATAAGAACAATAAACCCACAGCTCTGTCTGTTCACTGCTTGACCCTCATCACAGAGCTTTGCTTTGTTCTTGGGGGGATTTACTGTATGCCGTTCCAGTTTGATTGCTAGGAGTGTAAACCTATTTGTATGGTTTTTCCTATTCGGCTGTTTACAGCATTTGTGTGGTTCCGGTTCAGCTGTTTACGGCATTCATATGCTTCTCTGGTTCGGTGGATTGGTGTCTACAGTAGCTGTGCCTTTGTCTCTGGAAGGGAAGATCTACTAAACGGCGGTTTAACCCTTTTATGCCCAGGGTGCCGTTACAAAGCTGATAGCCATCCTTTTGTAGATAGATATAACTCAGCTGTCTCCCCAATGATTGCTGGTGCAGGGGATGCCCTGTCTGCTACATCCCCACTCTAAAGTGTGAGCTGGGGATCTTCAGGAGTCTGTCTTTTTGTTACCGTTTTTAAAAGTGAAGTTTTCTATAAAATAGACGAAACACCCCAGTAGGTGACAGCCAGTATTTTCTTCAGTCTCAGGTTGCTCCACAGAGCTAAGAAAAGTGGCATGCATGCAGAGCTAAAGTGCACCTACCTGCCTCCTTCTCAATAAGCAGCAACTCAAGCAAAGCGGTTTCTTGAGGAGAAGCCTCTGGTTGGTGTATTCCAAAGCAGCCCCAGGAGGGCTTGCAACAGCTGCAGATAACAGGAATAGAAAAAAAAAAATAACTGTCGAAAATAAGGTTGCAGAAGCAAATGTAATAGATCCTCTCATTTCCCAAATTCTAGATGAATAAGGAGGAATTATTGCTCATTACAACCATCACATGACTAAGGTTCATTACCTGAAATGTTACCAGTTTGGTCTATTTCTTTGGGCAGAAGACAGGGACTTGTGGGCATTGGTTAACAGTATTGGATAGACTGGTATTTATTATTTTTATTCAAAGAGTATAGCCCTCTCTAACAATACGTAAAGGTTATTGGTGGTAAATATTGTGAGCAACTGGTATACAGAAGTAAATTGTTATCTTTAGATTGTAAGCTCATGGGCTATCTAACTAAGCACTTTTTATAAAAAGATTTTTAATGGGTAGATCTCAGCTTATAGGCAGGGCCCTCGTAACCAAAAATACAGTATATCACAAAAGTGAGTACACACCTCACATTTTTGTATATTTTATTATATATTTTCATGTGACAACACTGAAGAAATGACACTCTGCTATAATGTAAAGTAGTAAGTGTACAGCCTGTATAACAGTGTACATTTGCTGTCTCCTCAAAATAACTCAAAACACAGCCATTAATGCCTAAACCGTTGGCAACAAAAGTGAGTACACACCCCTAAGTGCAAATGTCCAAAGTGGGCCCAAAGTGTCAATATTATGTGTGGCCACCATTATTTCCCAGCACTGCCTTAACCCTCATGGGCATGGAGTTCACCAGAGCTCACAGGTTGCCACTGGAGTCCTCTTACACTCCTCCATGACGACATCACGGAGCTGGTGGATGTTAGAGACCTTGCGCTCCCCACCTTCCGTTTGAGGATGCCCCACAGATGCATGTCTGGAGACATGCTTGGCCAGTCCAGCACCTTTACCTTAGGCTTCTTTAGCAGGACAGTGGTCATCTTGGAGTTGTGTTTGGGGTCGTAATCATGTTGGAATACAGCTCTGCGGTCCAGTCTCTGAAGGGAGGGGATCTTGGTATGTCACAGTACATGTTGGCATTCATGGTTCCCTCAATGAACTGTAGCTCCCCAGTGCCAGCAGCACTCATGCAAGCCCAGACTATGACAGACCCACCACCATGCTTGACTGTAGGCAAGACACACTTGTCTTTGTACTCCTCACCTGGTTGCTGCCACGCACACTTAACACCATCTGAACCAAATAAGTTTATCTTAGTCTCATTGGACCACAGGACATGGTTCCAATAGTCCATGTCCTTAGTCTGCTAGTCTTCAGCAAACTGTTTGTGGGCTTTTTTGTGCATTATCTTTAGAAGAGGGTTCTTTCTGGGACTAAAGCCATGCAGACCAATTTGATGCAGTGTGCGGCGTATGATCTGAGCCCTGGCAGGCTGAACCCCCACCCCTTTAACCTCTGCAGTAATGCTGGAACACTCATACATCTATTTCCCAAAGACAACCTCTGAGCAAGTGCACTCAACTTCTTTGGTCGACCATGACGAGGCCTGTTCTGAATGGAACCTGACCTGTGAAACCGCTGTATGTTCTCGCCCACCGTGCTGTTTCAGGGTCTTGGCAATCTTCTTATAGCCTAGGCCATCTTTATGTAGAGCAACAATTCTTTTTTTCAGATCCTCAGAGAGCTGTTTGCCATGAGGTGCCATGTTGAACTTCCAGTGACCAATATGACATTAATGGCTGTGAGTAGAGTTGAGCGGACACCTGGATGTTCGGGTCTGGTGGGTTTGGCCGAACTTCAGAAAAAAGTCCGGGTTAGGGATCGAACTTGACTCCGAACCCCATTGAAGTCAATGGGGACCCGAAATTTTGGGCACAAAAATGGCTCTAAAAAAGTCCTGGAATGGACTAGAGGGCTGCAAAAGGAAGTAAAATGGGGGTAAGAGTAGGACAAGTGCCCTGCAAACAAATTTGGATAGGGAAATCACTTAAAATAACATAAAATACAATTCCCACGGTATTAGGGAGCTATCTACCAAAAGGCTGAAAGACCTAAACTGGTCTTTGAGCCAAATTTACTAATACTTAGTAGAAAAGATTACTTAGTATTAGTAAATTCAGCCCCTACTCGCTATACCGCGAGTAGGGGTGTATCTAGTAAACAGTGAGCAGCCTAAAAAAATTCCAAAGATTTTTCCCACGCTGTGTAAAATGACACAGAGCACTCTGATTGGTGGATTTCAAGCCAACCAATCAGAGTGCCGTGACAGGTAAATGTAGAGACTTACCTGTCAGTCTCTTCATTTACCTGTCATAGCACTCTGATTGGATTGCTTAAACCCACCAATCAGAGTGCTCTGTGTCATTTTACACAGTGTGGGAAAGTTCTTTGGAATTTTTTTAGGCTGCTCATTGTTTACTAGACACGCCCCTACTTTATAAGCCTTCCCCCGCACTGCAGAGCTCAGTCTGCGCAGAGCCCTCCTTGGGTGAATTTTTTTTATTTTTTTTTAAAGTGCTTTGGTTATTATGGATTTTTATTTGGCATTTTTTTGGTCTGAAAAAAGAAGAGTTTAGAAGAAAGAAGAAATCAAATGGTAAGTCTATTTTTTTACAGGTATTTCAAGCCAACCAATCAGAGTGAGGTCCCCCCTTATTATTTTTAGGATGAAGGGGGTAGGTAGGGGTTATTTTTTTTTTGGGAGGGGGGTGACTAGGGGTTTGGGGACCCCTAGTCACCTCTGGGGGGTTAAATTTTTATTTAGGGCCCCCACCCGCCGCTCAGGGGTAGGGGCCAAGGGGGAGGACATTAGGTCCCCCCCTCCCAATTTTTATTTATGGCCCCCACCCACCGCTCAGGGGTGGGGGCCAGTGGGAGAGGACATTAGGTCCCCCCCCCCCAATTTTAATTTATGCCCCAACCCGCCGCTCAGTCACAGGTGGGGGCTGCTCACTATTTAATAGACATGCCCCTACTCGCGGTATAGCGAGTAGGGGAATAATTTTATAATACTAAGTAACCATCTTATATAGAGGCTGGGTCACATGCTGCAATGGCCAATCACAGCCATGCCATTAGTAGGCATGGCTGTGATGGCTTCTAAGGGTACACGAGTCAAACGCTTGTTGATTGGCTGCCCTACAGCCTTTCAAACCGTGTGATTAAATCGCCGAACACCAAACTCCAACCCAAACATACAGTGATATGTCCGCGTTCGGGTCCGGGGTCCAAAAAGCGTAATGTTCGGTACGAACCCGAACTTTACAGCCGGGGTTCGCTCAACTCTAGCTGTGAGTTATTTTGAGGGGAGAGCAAATTTCCACTGTATACAGGCTATACACGTACTCAGTATTCTCTTGCGACCCATTTTTTTGCTCTCCACAAGTTTAAAGGGTAATCCAGTCGTGGACCCCTTGCTCACGGTGCCTAGAGAGATATCAGCTATGCCTCACTGATGATGCCTAACAAGGCTGAAACGATCGTCTAGGGTTGCTGTGCCTCTCGTGCAGAGGGAACTTGCTGGCATTTCGGATCTGGACTGCCCATATGGGTGGGACCAGTCTGATATGTTTCAGTGATGTTCACTCTGTAATGGCACAAGATGAACAAAAACCAGCTTGAGAACTGAGCGGTGACCCACAGAGGGCAGGCTATTTCAGCTGCTGCCCGTTCTCAGTATTCTCTTGCGACCCATTTTTTTCGCTCTCTACTTTACATTGTAGCAGAATGTAATTTCTTTAGTGTTGTACCCACTTTTGTGAGATACTCTCACTGTTTATAAGATTGAATTAAAACTATGAATGCATTTAATTCCGCATTTCATTTAGTCTGCACTTTTTGTTAAAATTAAACAAAAAGCTGAAGTTCTTTCAAGGTCTGGAGTGTCCTTTTAATGGTACATGTAACATGAATCTTTTTCTTACAGTGGTTTCTATGGAATTTATTTGTATCTATATAGTCTTGGTTTTCTAAATCAAAGGGCAATGTAATTTGGAATATAGTTGGGCAGGAGAGTGCCCACTTTTCAAATACAAAGTCTTACAGAGGGTTTTGTAAGCATTCCATATTTAGTTTTCATTTTGTGTGATTGGTTTAGTATTTTGACATACTTATATAATACAAACTAATCTGTTATATATTTACTTTGTTTTCTGTATGTTTGCTATTGAGTTACATAGTTACATTGCTGAAAAGAGACTTGCGTCCATCAAGTTCAGCCTTCCTCGCATATGTTTTTACGGTTGATCCAAAAGAAGGCAAAAAAACCCAGTCTGAAGCGCTTCCAATTTTGCAACAAACTAGGAAAAATTTCCTTCTTGACCCCAAAATAGCAGTCAGATGTCTCCATGGATCAAGCAGCTATTACCCCACTAATTAGAAATTATATCCCTGTATGTTATGATTTTACAAGTATTTATCCAATTGCAGTTTAAACATCTGTATGGACTCTGATAAAAACCACCTCTTCAGGCAGAGAATTACATATTCTTATTGCTCTTACTGTAAAAAACCTTTTCTTTGCCTTAGATGAAATCTCATTTCTTCCAGCCTAAATGTGTGACCTTGTGTCCTATGTATAGTCCTGTTTGAATAGATTTCCAGATAATGGTTTGTACTGGCCACAAATATATTTGTATAATGTTATCATATGTCCTCTGAAGCACCGTTTTTTCAAACTAAAGAGATTTACATTTTTTAACCTTTCTTCATAACTAAAATGCTCCATTCCTTTTATCAATTTTGTAGCTCGTCTCTGCACTTTTTCTAGTGCCATGATATCCTTCTTTAGAACAGGTGCCCAAAATTGCACAGCATATGAAGGTGTGGTCTTACCAGCGATTTATAAAGAGGCAAAATTATATTTTCATCTCGAGAATTTATGCCCCTATTTATACACGACAAAACCTTACTGGCCTTAGTAACTGCAGATTGACATTGCATATTGCTGCCTAATTTGTTGTCTATAACAATTCCCAAATCCTTCTTGTGTGTGGTTGTGACGGAACGCTGGCACTCCGACTGAGTACCTCCGCCAATCGATGCTCCTAGCGCTTGCCGAGGACTCCAAGCACTCCAACCGACACCATCAGCACTGCAGACCCCACTTCCAGCGATGCAACTGCGCTGGGGTCTCTGCTATCTCTACCCACCCTGGACCCAAGGCCAGGATCCAGCTTCCAGTGGGTGAACCTCTCTTTCCCCAGAGAGCAGGAACAAGCTCTTAGCAGAACTTAGTGATCATACCCTGGGGAGTATAGTGATTATAGCAATCCCCAGAGTGTAGGTATCCCTTCCCCCAAACATGAGCCAAGGCTTAATGCTGGAACAAGACTAATTTACTGGCACACAGAACTCACAATTTATGCAACACAAAACTCCTCCTCTGGGCCAGGCTAGATAATTGAGTTTCTACAATACACAAAGCTCAATTATCTGCTGGCCAGATATTATACAGTTTCATAAAACACACAGGGACCCCAAAACATGCAATAACCCCATAAAAAGTATATCCTTGGAACTGGGGGATCTGGGTGAACCACATATCCAAAATTCACCCAGATCCGTTCAGTACTTTGGAAAATACAGTTTAATGCAGATTCTGCAGAACATATACAGGCTAAATAAAAACAATCACTGTATAATGTGTCCCCTGCTGTATAGTCCAAAACCACTGCACGATGTCTCTGTGCACCAAATACTGGCGAGATGGCACCGTGTTGAAAAGTCCAAACAGTGTCTGTGAGTTAAAATGGCCGCCATCCATTGTTCTCACCATGTGCTTCTGATACAGGAAATGGTGGCCACCCAGTAACTCCACAGTATGTCCCCAAATGGTTCTTAAAGGGCCAGCAGCAGCACAACACAAATCCATTATGCCCAAATCATGTCTTTAAAGGGCAATACATCCCAGGGGCCATAGTCACAGGGCAAGAGGCGGGCAAGCAGTCCTCTCCAGGCACAAGTGGCGAAGGGCGCTTCGTCACAGTGGTTATTCCTAATTCACTACCATTTAGGGTAGTAGTTGCTTGTGCATTCTTGACCCCGAAGTGCATAACTTTGCATTTCTCTACGTTAAATTTAATCTGCCATTTTAGTGCCCTGTCCTCCAATCTATCCAAATCCCTCTACAGCCAAGCAATATCCTGCTCACATTTTATTACTTTACAAAGTTTTGTGTAATCTGCAAACACTGAAACATGGCTTTCAATGCCTATTTCAAGATCATTTATAAATATATTAAATAGAAGTGGACCCAAAACAGAACCCTGAGGGACACCACTTACCACTTTTGTCCAGCCTGAAAATTTACCATTAATGACAACTCATTGTACTCTATCCTTAAGCCAATGTTCTACCCAATAACAAGAATAATCATCTAGACCAATTTCTTTTAGTTTGAAGACTAACCTATTGTAAGGAACCATATCAAATGCCTTGGCAAAATCCAAGTAGATCACATCCACTGCAACACCCTGATCTATACTTCTACTTACTTCTTCATAGAATGCAATTAGGTTAATTTGACATGACCTATGTTTCATAAAACCATGCTGATTATTGCTAATAACAAAGTTCTTCCCAATGAATTCCTGAATATTATACATTAATAGCCGTTCAAATATTTTCCCAGTCACAGAAGTTAAGCTCACAGGTCTATCATTTCCAGGAAAGGATTTTGAACCCTTTTTAAATATAGGAACGACATCTGCCTTCCTCCAATCCTCCGGTACAATACCTGAAACAAAAGAATCTTGAAAAATTAAATGCAGAGGTTCACTTATTTCCCCATTTAGCTCCTTAAGTACTTGTGGGTGGATACCACCAGGCCCCTGAGCTTTATTTACATTAATTTTCTTTAACAGCTGTAGCACCTTGTCTCGAGTTATCCAATCACAAGTTGTCTGCAAGTTTTTTGCAGCAATTATTTGCATATCTCTTGCCATAGGATCCTCATTAATATATACTGAAGAAAAATAGTTATTTAAAATTGTTGCCTTTTCCTGGTCTTCATAAGCTAACAGACCCATCTCTGTTTCCAATGTACCTACACTTTCATATTTAGTTTTTTTAGAATTGATGCACTTGAAAAAAATGTTTGGGTTTGGTTTTGCATTCTTTGGCTATCAATTTTTCATTTTCTAGTTTAGCCACTTTAATTGCCTTTTTGCAAGCATTATTGGCTTCCTTATATCTTATATAGGATGCCTCTGATTTGTCCAATTTAAATGCTTTAAATGCCCTTTTCTTATTTGTAATCTCTTGTTTTACTTCTCTACTAAGCCACATTGGTTTCAATTTGTTTCTCTTATATGTATTACCTAATGGTACATACTGAGAAATGTACCTTTCTAATATTTGTTTGAATAGTTTCCATTTATCCTCTTTGTTTTTTTCACTAAGGAGTTTATGCCAGTCGATATGTTGTAGAGCTGCCCTAATCTTATTGAAATTGTCTTTTTTTAAATTATATGTTTTAGTGCTTTTGCTTTTTTGAGTTTATTTAAAAAATTACCATATTGTGATCACTATTTCCCAAATGCTCCCCTACTTGAATGTTGGTCAAAAGATCAACATTGTTTGTTATAACGAGATCCAGACAAGCATCCTTTCTAGTTGGTGCTTGTACCAGTTGTGACATAAAGGTGTCATTTAACACATTCAAAAACCTGATTACCCTTGCTGAAGTACTAGTCACTCTATCCCAATTTATGTCCGGGTAATTAAAATCTCCAGTAATTAACGTGTTACCCCGATTTGTGGCTCTCCCAATTTGCTCTAACAGCTGTTCTTCCTCATTAATATTTATATTGTTAATAACATATCCCAACCAATAATTGTTTTCCCTTGAGTTATTACTGTTTCTAAAATATTTATGACTGTCACCAGGAAAAGTGTCTTTTGGGTTCACCAAATGGCTCATTATCTATGTAAAGTTACCTACCTAGTATTGGAGATCACTGCATGGTAGGTAATTTGCACATAGCTGAGCTTTTACATGATAGATATTTATGTGGTGCATACAATTATAATTGCTATTCATAACAAGCAGATAGTGAAAGCCCTTTTTTGTGAGGGAGAAGAGGCGGTTAAAAATAGCTTCTGGATAGGAGTTTCTTGTATCCCAAAGGAGTTATATCTTACATCTAGCATCCTAATAATTCTGTAATTGGTTTGTGTTTGGTGATGAGTATCCTGGGAATTACTCAGTAACTAGGTGACACAATGTGTAGTTTTACAGGATTTCATTTTTCTTTAGATTGTTTTATTTTTTACATACATATTTTCCTAATTTATTTGTTTATTCAAATAAGCAATGTATTACAAAATAACAACAGCAAAAAAAGTCTAACTTTAAATGGGTGTCTTGGAGGCTTTGTCTGGGAGAAAGTTCTCCTTCGCAGTCTACTGGGGAAGTCAGTGAAATCACGTGGTATACTAGCAGTACTGTTTACTGAGATCTGAAAGTCTGACTGTTCCCCACCCTTCCTGTTTCAACCCCTCAACCAAGTCTGATAAATGTGGACCAACGCCTAAACCCAAAACAGGAAACCTCAGCGTACCTGCTGGGCATTGTGTACAAATATAACATTTTGAACTTTAATTTTGTGCATGAACAGATTATTATATCTGCATCCAAAAATCAGTATGTATAGAAAAGATTCTAGCACTACATGCAATAATATAGAGTATTGTGAGTTGCAGTTCACAGCATTTGGTGTATGAGTTAATATGAAGCCTGAATACCAGAAGGGGGCTGAATGGAGTGTCTGTTATAGACTACTTTATTCAGATGAGTATACATAGCTCTGTAAAAATAAGAAAAACGTGTAAGTGGCGCCTCTGAATTAAGGCAAGACACCAATCAGTGAATTGTGCACATGCTGTTCCTCACAAAAAGTGTCCTCCCTCTTTTACCTCTAACTTACAAGAAACTCAAAATATAATAATAATAATAATTAATAAACCTCTTCAAGCAATTACAAAAAAATATAAATATAGCAGAAAATACTTTCTAGTAGTGATGGTATATACAGTCATGGGAAAAATTATTTTCTCTTTGAATTCTATGGTTTTATATATCAGGACATACATATCAGGATATAACACTATAAATTTCAAAGGGTGTACCTTCTTTTTCCCATGACTGTAACCCACTGCAGTATAATATCAGAAATTATGGAATATCTGAATTACAAAAAATAAAAATAAACGTACAGAGAGTGATCATAGCGCACCACAAAGCTGGTGAAATTGATCATAAGCCCACTCACACGATGCAGAGCTGTGCTCTTGCAAGTATCAGGCTGAAAAGCAGGAACTCCACAGCAGGACCTATGAAAAGTGACAGTGTTTAATTAAAAGTATATAAATAATGCATTTCTCTTCCTCACTTTTTTTTTTTTTGGTTATTCATTTTATATATAAATAATGATTTTTATTTTTTTAGCATACATAGCTATATGCAGTATTTGTTAAAACATCTAACAATTAAAGTATTTATTAAAGGTATTAAAATGCAGCAGAAGAACTTTGTCTCTACTCACCGTAGTGGGACCTGTAAAAAAATAAAAATAGAAAGAATGGCAGAAAATAGGTGGGGGAGAAAGTGAAACACTGACATAAGGATCATTTCTGGAGACAAATAGTTGTAATCCATTGCCTTTAAAGAGAATACAGACAAATGAAAAGACTCTCAGGAATAATATGTTTGATCTCATATATCCAGCCATCTAAGAATTAATTTAAAGCTTTATGTTATTGTTCATGATCTCAATTTTCTAGTAAGCAGGAGGGTTTTCCAGTTCTTGGTAACACATAATTTATTTCACGTAAATTGTATTTAATCATTTACTGGTCTTGTGACAGTTACCTCTGATTAATTTGCACACAACTTTGTCAGAAAAATATTGCATAGCAAAAACTCCTATTTTATTATGTAAGATGGGTTATATAGGAATTTTGCAATGATAACATATATATCCTATTTAAATACACAGATCATATAATTATAATAATACATTAGTGATTCATGAATTCATTATACTAAATCTGAATTCTTGGGGAGTTTAATATCCCAATCAACAACCTTAACTGCCCTGATGCCTCTCAACTGCTCTCTGCAAACTCCTCCTTGGATTTATCCCACATTATGATAACCCCCATATTATGATAACCCCATAGCCAGATAAAGTCCTTCTGAAGGCATCTTTGATGATAGTTCAAGGTTGTGGCTTTTTGAAAGCAAGAATTTATAAATTCAGCAATGTGAATCATTCCCTCAATGACTATATCTGCCAATGATCCAGTGAATGTGATTGAGGACAGGGTCAGACTCCTCAATAAGCAGAGTAGGCACCTGCCTACAAGTTTGTTTCCTGTAGGTGGCGTCTGTTTTTCATACTTATAATGTGCCATTTTGGAGCTTAGGGGAAGTGTGATAAAGAGAGATAAGCACCAGGAGCCTTGGCCAGTGCCTTCTGTAGTTCAGTCAGTCTCTTATGATAGCAGACCTGCAGGAATTTTTATAGAGGGTTTAAAACTCAGTGCTGTGCCAGCTCCTCCACTGTCTCGGTGTGAGGCTGCTTGGAAAATGGAAGTGAACACTTCCAATCTGTCCACTAACAGCCTCTCAGGAAATCTCTACAGGAGGAACAATGACAGCAATGAGTGAAGCATACTGTATAAAAGCTCCTGCAGTCCTATCATCAATCATTGGAGGGTGACTGGACCGTAGGAGACATAGGATGATGAGTATTTTGCAAATAGTCTTTCAAACTCCACATGCCCTAACACCCCTTTTCCACAACCCTAATATTAACACAACCTAAAACTCCCCCCCCCCAAAAAAAATAGAAATGCATCTTCAGCTGTGTGTCTCTTAACCCACCTTTTGAATTTCTTGCCCCTTGTATGTCTTGCCCCTCTTTTTGTATCTTCCCCCCTTTTGTGTCTTACATCCCCTGTTTTTCCTTTTGAGTCTTACACCCATCTTGAGTGTCTCTTACGTTCTCCTTTGTGCTTCTTAGTTTTCCCCAGCCCCTTTGTGTGTCTCTTACATCCCCGCAGCCCCTTATGTGTTTTATACTTTCATCAGCCTCTTTTAGTATTTCTAACTCAGCCAGCCCATTTGCATGTCATTTTACCCTTCCTCAGCTCTTTTGTGTGCAACATTGTCCCCTTCTCCAGCCACTCTGACACACACAGAGTGGCTAGGGAATCAATGACACACACAGAGGTGCTGGAGAATTAGACAATGACACACACAGAGGGGCTGGGGACAATAACACACACAGAGGGGATATGGGAGGGGACAATGACACACACATTTTCCTTTGCCCTTATGTGCTCTTCCCCAGCCAAAGCAATGCATATGCATTTAATTTAACAGCCCAATTATGTGTGTCAAACAATAAGTCTATATAATACAGTTATGCCATATTGTTCTTAGATACCATACATCTAGCTCCCCATTTTCTTACTCAAGTGTCTTGCAGTAGTAAGCAGGCATCTAAAGTTACCATTCGTCTTTCTTACTTAATTTAAAAAATATGTATCGAATACTTCCTTACTTGCTCCCCAGTTTCATAGTGCAGTAGTGTACTACACTCTCCCCATCTCAACTCTGGATTGTTTTTAAGTGCAAAGTTTGTTTAGCCTTAGCCCTTTGTCATTTTAAGAGGTTTTAGGCTATACAGAACTTTATCTTTTTTTTATTATTATTATTATTTATTTCAAATCTCAATTAGAGAGAACAGATGAATAAACAACAGATGCAGAATAAAAGTGTGGAATCTTTATTGGCAAACAACAGACATAACCATAAAAAACAATGCCATGTAAAATGGACAGTGTTAATTATGTGACTCCTAGAACTCCCAGTTGCTGACAAAAATGATAAAATATAGGATATGCCTCTAAATCAATAAATAAAGGGAAGGAAACATCTCAACAAGAGATGACATTGAGGTGAAAAAAAAAAAACAATATAGGGATAGTGAAAAAAGATAAGAGGTTCAGGTCAGAGGCAGTTAAAAAAAAAGTGGTCTGGAAATAAAATATCAAGTGGGCATAAGAGTCTCAAGATAAAAGAAAGAGGGGAAGTGAAAGAGAGTGATGTGAGAGGCTGTGCTCACCATCCTGCAACTCAACACAGACCAGAACTATGGCAGAGAGGGGAAGAATTAAATACGTTTCAGGAAGCTAAAGAATAGGTTGCGTACCATGGTTCCCAAATCCTAGTCAATGACTCTGGGCTATCATGTACCAGTGCTATAACTCAGTCTATTATGACTGCCTAATTAACCTTGGAGATATAGTGAACATTCTGGGTAGCCAAAAGGTGTTCCACAATTTGAATATCTGCATGCTTTCAATGCTATTCTGAACGCTATTTTTAGATTAGTTATTATTTATTTTCATTTTGAGTCAATGTCTTTAGAGCTTTAGATAAAAGAAGACCAAAGGGTCAAGATGAACTAGAGTTATTTGAAACAAGTGGACACTTTTACACATTGAGCAAAATAGTTTACTGGGAAATGGTATGTATTAAAGGGAGACTTAAAGGGGAAATAAAAGTATTTAAAGTGTCAAAACATAAGTGGGATGGATCTCTCTTGGATCATTTTTAAATACAATCAAAAGGAAACAATTCTCATAGTCATTGTGTTTACCAATTTGTTTTCCAGATTTCACCATCCTCATAGAAGTTGGCATCATGAATTCTACATTTGACCCATTTCAGTGCCTGGAGCTTGTGAAGAGAAAACACATAAACATTATTGTGTTGCATTATAACTTGACTGGACGAATGACTAACCGATCAAGCAATGGAATGTCAATTCTCAATATACTTTTCATATTTATCAGCATCTTTATCATTCTTGAGAATCTCTTTGTACTAACAGCTCTGCTGAGGTGGGAGGAAAATTTATTGTTGTCTTTGATGTTCTTAAATGATAACAAACAAGAAAAAAAAATCTGCCAATTTACAATCTGTATTTAAAATGACCCATTACAGTTGCAAGAAAAAGTATGTGAACCCTTTGGAATGATATGGATTTCTGCACAAATTGACATTATAAAATGTGATCTGATCATCATCTAAGTCACAACAATAGACAATCACAGTCTGTTTAAACTAATAACACACAAAGAATGAAATGTTGCCATGTTTTTATAGAACACACCATGTAAACATTCACAGTGCAGGTGGAAAAAGTATGTGAACCCTTGGATTTAATAACTGGTTGAACCTCCTTTGGCAGCAATAACTTCAACCAAACGTTTTCTGTAGTTGCAGATCAGACGTGCACAACGGTCAGGAGTAATTCTTGACCATTCCTCTTTACAGAACTGTTTCAGTTCAGCAATATTCTTGGGATGTCTGGTGTGAATCGCTTTCTTGAGGTCATGCCACAGCATCTCAATCGGGTTGAGGTCAGGACTCTGACTGGGCCACTTCAGAAGGCCTATTTTCTTCTGTTTAAGCCATTCTGTTGTTGATTTACTTCTATGCTTTGGGTCATTGTCCTATTGCAACACCCATCTTCTGTTGAGCTTCAGCTGGTAGAAAGGTGGCCTTAAGTTCTCCTGCAATATGTCTTGATAAACTTGGGAATTCATTTTTCCTTCGATGATAGCAATCCGTCCAGGCCCTGACGCAGCAAAGCAGCCCCAAACCATGATGCCCCCACCACCATACTTCGAAGTTGGGATGAAGTTTTGATGTTGGTGTGCTGTGCCTTTTTTTCGCCACACATAGTGTTGTGTGTTTCTTCCAAACAACTCAACTTTGGTTTTATCTGTTCACAGAATATTTTGGCAGTACTGCTGTGGAACATCCAGGTGCTCTTGTGCAAACTGTAAACGTGCAGCAATGTTTTGTTTGGACAGCAGTGGCTTCCTCTGTGGTATCCTCCCATGAAATCCATTCTTGTTTAGTGTTTTACATATTGTAGATTCGCTAACAGGGATGTTAGTATTTGCCAGTGACTTTTGTAAGTCTTTAGTTGACACTCTAGGATTCTTCTTCACCTCATTGAGCAGTCTGCGCTGTGCTGTTGCAGTCATCTTTACAAGACGGCCACTCCTAGGGAGAGTAGCAGCAGTGCTGAACTTTCTCCATTTATAGACAATTTGTCTTACCGTGGACTGATGAACAGCAAGGCTTTTGGAGATACTTTTATAACCCTTTCCAGCTTTATGCAAGTCAACAATTCTTAATCGTAGGTCTTCTGAGAGCTCTTTTGTGCGAGGCATCATTCACATCAGGCAATGTTTCTTGTGAAAAGCAAACCCAGAACTGGTGTGTGTTTTTTATAGGGCAGGGCAGCTGTAACCAACACCTCCAATCTCATCTCATTGATTGGACTCCAGTTGGCTGACATCTCACTCCAATTAGCTCTTGGAGATGTCATTAGTCTAGGGGTTCACATACTTTTTCCACCTGCACTGTGAATGTTTACATGGTGTGTTCAATAAAAACATGGTAACATTTCATTCTTTGTGTGTTATTAGTTTAAGCAGACTGTGATTGTCTATTGTTGTGACTTAGATGATGATCAGATCACATTTTATGACCAATTTGTGCAGAAATCCATATCATTCCAAAGGGTTCACATACTTTTTCTTGCAACTGTATTTCTGCCTATGTAATCATGTATTACAGTGATGTTTTACAACTCTCATCCTCATCCTCACTCTGATGCTCATTATGTTCATGCTGAATGGGTTATTTAAAGGGATATGCATCACTTTGAGAGAACTGCATCATGCAAAAAAACAAAGAAAAGAGTTTCTTGTGCACTATCGCAAATTCCTATGCATAGTTAAAAACTGGAGGCTTTTAGTATTACTCCAATGGCCATTAGGTGTATTCTTACCTGCCACGTCAAGGCAAACCTCTTAAGCGAGTAATACACTAACAATTTGCCTTGCTTCTTTCTGCTTCAGGTAAAAAAAAATCTCTAATGAGATATGGAGGGCTTTAGAAAAATACCGCTCACTACTTATTATAGGGTTTGTAAGTAGAGAGAGGTATTTACCTCTTAGGTGAGGTATATTTGTATATGCTTAGGGATTTGGGATAGTGAGCAAGTAACTCTTTTCTTTGGTTTTTATTGTGTGTATTAGGGTTGATGTATACTATGGTCATTGCTGCTGCATTTGAGTAGTTTGAGTGCAGGGCTTATTTTGGTATGTTTGCTTTTGCTTTTGTATTACACAACCCTGTTACAATGCTGCCACCAACCACATGTGTTCCTTATTAAAATTTAATAAGCAAGTAGGGGTTTAGAAATATACCCAAATGTCCATTGGAGTGGTATTAAAAACCTCCAGTTATTTAAATATTCATAGGGATTTTTGTTATAGTGCATAAGTAACTCTTTTATTTTTGTATTGTATGGGGCTGATGTAACTATGGTAATTGCTCGAGCCCAGGATCTGCTACTAATGAGTTGGTCCAGATAGCACAGGACATGTTCAGAGGTCTTGAGTCCATGCCTCGATGCATCACAGCTGTTTTCGCAGCACGATGGGGGACGTACATGATATCAGGCGTGTAGTTTTATGTAATAAATAGATAAAAGAAAGAGACAGCGCCAATTAACCTATTAGGCAGCAACCCGAGAAAAGGAATCCCCCTAAAACCCTAAAATACAGGATAAAAACAAAATATAAAAGAAGGGCTGCGCCAAGCTAAATAAACAATATTCAGTCCAAATAATGGTAATGGTATAATAAAAGTCCAACCTAAAAAATGTCCTCTCTGTCGTCCTAGGGTACAGGAACAAGGTCTTCAGGTATAATATAAAAAATAAAACAACCGATAGTGCAGAGTGTATGTATCAAGTCAAGTAAAATTCGAATAATAGTAGCGAACTCACAATTTTTTAGAGCTTCTGTCCAGCTCTAGGGTAGAGCGCACACAGCGGTATAATCCCCGCTTATGGGATATGTGGTGAGTGTCGGTTCTTCAGTGGTATCCAGAAGCTCAAAGAGAACAGAAACAAGCCAGATAGTGCTCTCTGTATGGATATATATTGTAGGTAGAAATAAAATCGTACTTACAAGTACAGAGCAGTCCAACTGCTCTTTGATGTCAGCGCTGGTGGAATAATCCCCACCTAAGGATTTCTTTGACTGCCAGGAACTTGCAGAAATGATGTTAAAATCAGAATAAAATTATTTATAAAATATATATTTATATAATATGCCAGGGGTAAATGTATAAATAAAAATGATTGGAACTATCAAGTAACCAAAACTTTAATATTTATTATACAAAATTATATTTCCATTAACGCGTTTCATCATAGATAATTTGCAGATAATACATCCTTTAATAAGGCATATTCTGTGTTTTTTTTTTATTAAAAACAAAGGTAGAAAAGGGTTTAAAATCACAAAGACATTATGTCACGTGATTTTGGGGCATTTCCGGTTTCGGAGGTGTGTCCGCGAGGTCTAATGGGTATAGTAGTTCCCCCATGCGGCGGCCATTGTGATGGGAGATAGAAAAAGAAATAAAATTTTAAAAGTGCATTATGAAATCATCATTCAATAGTAGATGATAAGACAAGTAATATAGAATAAAATTTATCTAAAAACGAGGGCGGGAAACCTCCAAAGATTATAAAACTTCCGGGTCACGTGATATGCGGCACTTCCGATTTCGGAAGTATAGCCGCAGAGCCTTATGGGGCATATAGTTCTCCCATAAGGCGGCATAATAATAAAAAGAGATGTAAATCTGAGCGCAGAATTTAGCTAATAAGTATTATAAAAGATATGAAAAGGGATAATAATAAGTAATAAAACTACCATAAGAACAAGCAAAGTGACCAAAAAAAACAGTACTTCCGGATTTTGGAGGTATCATGGGAGATGTAGTGAGGAATATAAAAGCCTAATTAGGCAAAAAAAATAAAAAAGAAAAAATGCTAAGAGGACCAGGACTCAAAAATAAAATAAAATAAAAAAGATCTAAAAAAATTATAAAATAAAAAATGGTGTTAACCTTAGTTGTTATTAAAAAGCCACTAAAATAGCCTTAAAAATAAATAAAAACACGGAATATACAAAGATGGAATAAGATACTAATCATTTTATAAAAAATTATGCAGATAAAAGTCTGCATTAAGACCATGGGGTATAAGAGTCTGGAGATTATACACCCATTCCATTTCTGTTTTTCCTAATATTTTTTTAATATCACCCCCACACCAAGGGGTGGAACATTTTTTTATGCCAATACACTTCAGTAGATGGGGATCTTTACTGTGTATAATAAAGTGTTTGGATACTGTATGATTTAAGTATCCATTTTTAATATTTCTGCAATGTTCGCTCAGTCGTCTTTAAACACCTTGTGGTCATCCCCACATATTGGAGGCCACAAGGACATTCGAGCAGATAAATAACATTTTTCGTGTTGCAGCTAATAAAATCATAGATCTTATACACTTTTTTAGTTCTATTTGACATAAATTGAGTTGTTTTTGATAAATTCGAAGAATCTGTGGTTCTGCATTATTTGGGAGGGCACCGAACAAAATCTTATTGCTTTTATTGAAAATTTGAATAATAACACCAGTGGTATCATTTTAACTCACGAATTTAGTAGGGAATCCATCAACTTTTTAGATCTCAACATTTTTATAAAGGAAGGACAACTTCAAACAAAAACCTTTTATAAAAAAGTTTGTGTAAATACAGTTATAGATAAATCAAGTTGTCATTACAAGCCATGGCTCGAAAGCGCACCTAATAGCCAATTCCTACATCTTTGTAGGAATTGCTCAGAATTGACTGACTTCAACGAACAAGTAGAGATATTAAAAAATAACTTTATCGAAAAAAATTATTTAGAGTCAGATTTAAATAACACACTCAATATAATAAAGTTAAAAGACCACAAAGATCTCTTAACCTATAAAAATAAAGAAGATATCGAACATATGTCTCTCCCTATTATTTTTAACTTCAATAATAAAAGTAAAACTATCAAAAAGATCATAAATAAACATTGGCATATTCTAAAACACGATGATGTACTTAATCCTATCATATCTGATCACCCAAATATTGTTTTTAGAGGAGCACCTAATTTTAAATCTATTTTAACTTCTAATTTCACAAAAGTACCAACTATGAATAACATTTCCTTTTCCCTCAAAGTAAAGGTTTCCACAAATGCAAAAGTTGCATAGTATGCAGAACCACAGATTCTTCGAATTTATCAAAAACAACACAATTTATGTCAAATAGAACTAAAAACGTGTGTAAGATCTATGATTTTATTAGCTGCAACACGAAAAATTTTATTTATCTGCTCAAATGTCCTTGTGGCCTCCAATATGTGGGGATGACCACAAGGTGTTTAAAGACTCGACTGAGAGAACATTGCAGAAATATTAAAAATGGATACTTAAATCATACAGTATCCAAACACTTATTATACACAGTAAAGATCCCCATCTACAGAAGTGTATTGGCATAAAAAAGTTCCACCCCTTGGTGTGGGGGTGATATTAAAAAAATATTAGGAAAAACAGAAATGGAATGGGTGTATAATCTCCAGACTCTTATACCCCATGGTCTTAATGCAGACTTTGATCTGCATAATTTTTTATAAAATGATTAGTATCTTATTCCATCTTTGTATATTCCGTGTTTTTATTTATTTTTAAGGCTATTTTAGTGGCTTTTTAATAACAACTAAAGTTAACACCATTTTTTATTTTATAATTTTTTTAGATCTTTTTTATTTTATTTTATTTTTGAGTCGTGGTCCTCTTAGCACTTTTTCTTTTTTTCTTTTTTGTCTAATTAGGCTTTTATATTCTTCACTACATCTCCCATGATACCTCCGAAATCCGGAAGTACTGTTTTTTTGGTCACTTTGCTTGTTCTTATGGTAGTTTTATTCCTTATTATTATCCCTTTTAATATCTTTTATAATACTTATTAGCTAAATTCTGCGCTCAGATTTACATCTCTTTTTATTATTATGCCGCCTTATGGGAGAACTATATGCCCCATAAGGCTCTGCGGCTATACTTCCGAAACCGGAAGTGCCGCATATCATGTGACCCGGAGGTTTTATAATCTTTGGAGGTTTCCAGCCCTCGTTTTTAGATTAATTTTATTATATATTACTTGTCTTATCATCTACTATTGAATGATGATTTCATAATGCACTTTTTAAATTTTATTTCTTTTTCTATCTCCCATCACAATGGCCGCCGCATGGGGGAACTACTATACCTTTAAGACCTTGCGACCACACCTCCAAAACCGGAAATGCCCCAAAATCACGTGTCATAATGTCTTTGTGATTTTAAACCCTTTTCTACCTTTGTTTTTAATTTAAAAAAAAACACAGAATATGCCTTATTAAAGGATGTATTATCTGCAAATTATCTAATATTGTTAATTTGATATATAAATAAGTATGTTTATTCTGATTGGCTGAAAAATTTTGGCGCCAATTTTTGTACTTAACTATGTCTATATAATCATTATCTGCCAGGTATTGTATTGCATTCCATTTTGAGAAAGTCTGTATGATGAAACGCGTTAATGGAAATATAATTTTGTATAATAAATATTAAAGTTTTGGTTACTTGATAGTTCCAATCATTTTTATTTATACATTTACCCCTGGCATATTATATAAATATATATTTTATAAATAATTTTATTCTGATTTTAACATCATTTCTGCAAGTTCCTGGCAGTCAAAGAAATCCTTAGGTGGGGATTATTCCACCAGCGCTGACATCAAAGAGCAGTTGGACTGTTCTGTACTTGTAAGTACGATTTTATTTCTACCTACAATATATATCCATACAGAGAGCACTATCTGGCTTGTTTCTGTTCTCTTTGAGCTTCTGGATACCACTGAAGAACCGACACTCACCACATATCCCATAAGTGGGGATTATACCGCTGTGTGCGCTTTACCCTAGAGCTGGACAGAAGCTCTAAAAAATTGTGAGTTCGCTACTATTATTCGAATTTTACTTGACTTGATACATACACTCTGGACTATCGGTTGTTTTATTTTTTATATTATACCTGAAGACCCTGTTCCTGTACCCTAGGACGACAGAGAGGACATTAACACAGAGACATACTGACACACACAAACATACACTGACAGACATACTGACACACACACAGACACTGACAGACAGACATGCTGACACACACAGACACAGACACTGACAGACAGACATGCTGACACACACAGACACATACACTGACAGACATACTGACACACACAAAGACACTGACAGACATACATGCTGACACACACAGACACATACACTGACATACATACTGACACACACACAAACACTGACAGACAGACATGTTGACAGACACATACACTGACAGACATACTGACACACACAAAGACACTGACAGACAGACATGCTGACACACACAGACACATACACTGACAGACATACTGACACACACACAAACACTGACAGACAGACATGTTGACAGACACATACACTGACAGACATACTGACACACACAAAGACACTGACAGGCAGACATGCTGACACACACAGACACATACACTGACAGACATACTGACACACACAGACACTGACAGACATACTGGCACACACACAGACACTGACAGACAGACATGCTGACACACACAGACACTGACAGACCGACATGCTGACACGCTCAGACACATACACTAACAGACATACTGACACACACAAAGACACTGAGAGACAGACATGCTGACACACACAGACACATACACTGACAGACATACTGACACACACACAGACACAGACAGACATACTGACACACACACTGACACTGACAGACAGACATGCACACACACACACACACAAAACATTTGTACAGGTTTCCTACCTTGCCTGGCTCAGCCCCGCTCCTCTCTGTCTCCTTGCTACATCCCACTCGGCTCTCTGTGGGAGGAAGTGACAGCCGAAAGCAAGAGGCCCGGTCATGCTGTTAAAGGACCAGAGCGCGCAACCAGGCCCCTGCTTACAAATGCCACTGGGTGGCCCTTAGTGAATGGGCCTAGGGGAGAGGGAATAGTTAAGGGCAGCAGGGCCCATGGGGCAGATGCTGTGGGCCCCCTCAGGATTGCCTGGGCAGCTGCCCCGTTTGCCCTGAGTTAAAGACGGCCCTGCTGATCATACACACACAATCACAGACACATACATACACAGTCACACATGCATATGAATTTTGTTTATTTAAAGTGGTCCACTTAGCCTCCTAACCTCTGCCTGGGAGGGTTGGAGTGGATTCTCTCCCTGGTGGCCAGTGGTCGCAGCTGAGATCACTGTGCTCTTCCTGCATAGGTCCCATTTTTGCCTTATAATGATGCTGTTGCCAAGGTGACATCACATTCCAGCTGCAACCACACAATTCAGAGCACATCAAGGAACTGTGCAGGAAGAGCACAGTGAGGACATATCTTCCTCATGAGCCGTACCCCCGACCCCTGGGCAGTGTAGACATCTGCTGTGTGGGTAGACAGGAGCCTACTCTGCCATAGTGAAAGAGTTGAGCAGTTTTTGTGTTCCATTCCTGGGGTATCCCAAGGTGGCCTCCTGGAGTAGCATAAGACAGCCTCCTGCTTGGGGTTAGATGACCATGATTTTATACTGGGCATTTGCAGGCTTTAGGTTGGCAACCCCTGACATAGAAGCTTAAAAAAGTACTTTTTAGAGATCATTGCTAGGCTCTAGAAACATCTGTGACTTGAGTTTAAGTGAGAAATTGTTCACCTCCTTCAGTAATGATGGGGGTACGTAACAACATATCCCTTCCTCTATATATTATGTCCCCTCTGCTCTACCCATGAACAGTGTGTTCCTGATGTTCTCTAGGATCTCAATGAAATAGCTGGAAACAAACACATGCTGCACAGTGAGGTATTCAGTGAGATCCCACCATTTGACCTAAGTAATAGAGAGCCCCACATCCAGAGATTCAGCCTCCAAAGCGTCCCCCTCCCCCAGCAACACATTATTATTATTATTATTGCCATTTATATAGTGCCAACAGATTCCGTAGCACTTTACAATATTATAAGAGGGGGTATTTAACTATAAATAGGACAATTACAAGAAAACTTACAGGAACCATAGGTTGAAGAGGACCCTGCTCAAACGAGCTTACATTCTATGTTAATCCCTGTTTTTGCTGTTTTTGTTTTTCTTTACTTAGTTTTTCTGTAGGCTTAACTTTTATTTTGCCAGAATCTATTTATAATATTTAGAAATGTTATTTACCAAAAACTCACTAAAGGCATATTTTAGTGAAGTAAAATGACATGTAAAACATTTACAGGTCTATTTATTAGAACCCAATGTTGTAAAGATATGCCAACATTTTATTTACTGACTGGTGCAACTCAGCCGCAATGCCTTAAAATGGATTCTGAATGGAATTAGTTTGCTCCCATAGAAAACCATAGCAATTGTACGAAGGTTCAAGTAAAATAATAAAGTGATGATGACATTATACAATTTAAAGTAGACTTAATAAAATGTATATTCAAGTGCAGCTATAAATCACTCTAGTGTAAAGTCAGTTATTACTCCTATTATAGATACAGGAATGAAAAAAATGGGAAACTGTACAACAAATTCTTATATACGATGTGGTGGACAGGTAGCAGGCAAGCAGCCATAACAGGAGAACACGATAGAAAACATGTTCACAATAAAAGCATAGGGCTTTATTAATAGGCAAATCCTAAAAACTAGGACAATTGTACAGAAAACAAAAACTTATAATTAAAAAAACACTAATCCAACATATTCTGTGTGTGTTCTAGGTATCTCCATTTGAAACGGTGGGTTTATTGCTGTTTGGCCAATATTGCCTTCAGTGACCTCTTGGCTGGTATCTCCTATCTACTGAACATCTGCCTCTCAGGCGCTAACACGTTCCTCCTGAGTCCAGAGCTCTGGTTTGTAAGGGAAGGTCTTGTCTTCACAACGCTGGCTGCCTCCATCTTCAGCTTGCTTGTAACAGCAGTAGAGCGCTACTGTACAATGGTGGTGATAACTTCAGAAAATCACTCAGTAAAGAGCATGCGAGTTCAGGGCTTGATTATCTTATGCTGGATATTGGCTGCTGTGGTTGGATTTTTGCCACTCCTTGGTTGGAACTGCATGTGTCACATTGAGAGCTGCTCGAACGTCCTTCCTCTTTATTCCAAAAAGTACTTACTTTTCAGCCTTATCCTGTTGGCTGTTACATTGGTTGGCATTACTGGATTTTACTGTACCATTTACTATTTAGTGTGTACTAGTGCAAAGCGAGTAGTGGTCACAAACCAAAGCAAGCGTGCCTTCCATTTGCTCCACACTGTCATCATCATTCTAGGTACCTTTATCTTCTGTTGGAGTCCACTGTTTGTAGTCCTTTTGATGGATACTGCATGCTCTCCTACTTCCTGCCCAATACCACTTGGACTGGAATGGGTGCTAGCATTGGCCCTCTTAAACTCAGCCTTGAACCCACTCATTTACTCTTTTCGAAGCTCAGAGGTTCGCAAAGCAGTATTAGCAGTGCTTTGGTGTGTCTGCTCTAAGGCTGGAGTGCCGTTGCCTGCCTCCTGCAGACTAGGCACAGATATTACTTCAGGCTCATCAAATGAGAGTTCTATTAGAAAGAGAAGTAGTGTGCGTCTTTCAAGGGCGCTCAGTGTCAGGAGCCCTTTAACAAGTATCTCAAGTGTGCCCAGTCAGTAAACATGGCTCTCAAAGTACAATCAGAAAAGAGGCTGGTCCCTCTTACCTGTTTTTCAGAAATTAATATTTTTATCTACTCAGGAACACAGTAAGCCTTGGTCCTGAAGTATGCTGTGCAGATGTTCACCCGATGAACTGTTACTGACTCCAAATCAGTAATGCTGTACTACAAATAAAATCACCAAGGATAGATAAATGAATTGGAAAAGGGGAGCTTGGAATCCAGCAAATACTGGATTCTGATAGCAGCCAGTCCTGAAAGTTTACCTAGTGAAGAGAATGTGAAATAATATGGATAAAGAATATTTAGCAGTTTTTTGAAAACTGTTTCATAAATCTAACATTTATTTGCTGTATATAATAAGCTTGTATACATTCAAAGACAAGATAAAATGAAAGTAAGATTGTATTTACGAGTGATTGTTCTATATTTACAAATATATATATATATATATATATATATATATATATATATACACATACACGTGTGTGTGCCTTTGGTATATATTTTTTTTATTCCTGGTAAAGTTAAGACAAAATATAAAACAGGAGGCGATCTGATTTCTTTAAACCACATAGGTATGTTGTTTTTATTGTTTCCATTAAAGTGTCAACATATTCTGCCGCTATTTATTTATAATTATAGAAAAGGGATATTTAGAGGTGAAGAAGGCTCTGCTCAAGCAAGCTTACAATCTATGAAGATTTGAAGTAGGTGATGTATATTAGGTGTCTTGCCCAAAGGCACATACTGATGAGGTGGTCAGAAGACGTATGCATCTAACCACTTTAATTGTGACTTTTTATTTACTGTACTGTTAGTACCATGCAAAATACAAAGGTGTATTTAGTTAGTACCATGCAAAATACAAAGGTGTATTTAACTATGTTTATTATTGCATGCTGGCATACTGGGGATTTTATGTTACATCTTTATGGGTGTCTGTAAAGGGTTAATACAGTTTGGAGAATTGGTTATAACCCTTAGTGGGTGGTTTCTAGTATAATTGAGTTCTTGTGAATTGTCACATATGTATGTTGGATTTTAACCTGAGACCTCAATAAAGTTGGCTTATTAAATAATTTTTGTACTTACTTGGTGTACGAATTGTTCATTCAATTGATTGTTACCGACACAGTTAAAGGCCAATGTCTATGACCACTTCTGCTATTAGAAGCTTTTCAGCTTGAAACACTGTACATAAAGTGAAATCTGCAATATTGTGCCAGGTGCTAGTTATGCCTCTGGCACATGTGATTTACACAGCTGCCTAATGTGAATTCTGTGCATATTTTATGACTGTGGTAAGTGCGATGACTACAGACATAATGAGAGTGTTGAGAGTGTGCCTGCAATGTGTGTGCAGCTCACACATAAAAAGTCTCCTATCTGGCTTATCATTTGCCCTTAGAGTCCCTCCTTCCACCTGTAATAGTTCCAGCCTCCCTCTATCTCTCCCGCTCTCCTGATTGGTATATTTGCAGCACTGGCTGAAGATCTTCATTAGGATATACATAAGACCTGCACAATATACGGCCCACGGGCCACAGGCCAGGAAAGACTGGAACTGCACAGAGGGAGCAGAGAGTAGAAGGCAGGAGTTGATGTGGTGCAGATTGCAAGAGTCATCCCCTAACTCCTAACATCTTCAGCCTGCACACCGGACACAAGGGAAACCACCCTCTAGCACCCAATAAGTAGGAAACTGGAGGGTGCGTATGCAAGTGTATATTTTGACCTGTATTTCTGTCAGTGTGTGTATGTCTGTCAATGTGTGTGTGTGTCTGTATGTCAGTGTGTATATATGTGTGTATGTCAGTGTGTGTGTGTCTGAATCTGTATGTCTATCTGCATGCCTGCCTGTGTGTGTATCTGTATGTATGTCTGTGTGCATGTGATAGGTGCTAAAAAATCTGTGGCCCAAAGAAACTTAGCCTATTTAATTTTGGTCCCTACCTACTGCCAAGTTGTGCAGGTCTGCTCTACATCATGTTGGTGTGCTAATTTGGAGATCTTTCCTCCACACTTATTATATATATATTGCCTCATTCCTGTGTACTCCTGTTTATGTAAAGGGTGTTTTTGTATAATATACACTTACCTTTTAAGTGCTAGACTTACTTACTGGTGTTTCCATTTTGTCACCTTGTCACACATTATATTGTTTTCATGCTTAATAAACATGGACTTGTTTCCATCAGAATGGCTATTTGAAGAAAAGGCTGTGTTCATTTTCATTCGAATAACAATTTAACAAGCAGAACAATGGAAGAATGAGCAGTAAAACTATATTCTTCCATGCACCATTTGTCCATTCTTCCATTTGAATGATGTGACCGAGACTTGCATCACACAAAAGGGAGTGAAAAGAAAGTGAGCTGGGACAACGAAGCTCATTCCTATACATGATCTACCAGGAGCATTGCCACTGGAGTGGGCTGTATCCCTATTTAAAAAAACAAAAACCGACTGATAAGACACTATATATATATAGTTACATAGTTACATAGCTGAAAAGAGACTTGCGTCCATCAAGTTCAGCCTTCCTCACATTTATTTTTTGCTGTTGATCCAAAAGAAGGCAAAAAAAACCCAGTTTGAAGCACTTCCAATTTTGCAACAAGCTAGGAAAAAAATTCCTTCTTGACCCCAGACTGGCAGTCGGATTTATCCTTGGATCAAGCACTTATTACCCTAAATTGAAAAATTATATCCTTGGATATTCTGTTTTTGCAAGTATGCATCTAGTACCTGTTTGAACATCTGTATGGACTCTGATAAAACCACTTCTTCAGGCAGAGAATTCCACATCCTTATTGTTCTTACAGTAAAAAAAAACTTTCCTTTGCCTTAGACGAAATCTTCTTTCTTCCAGTCTAAATGCATGACCTTGTGTCCTATGTAAAGTCCGGTTTGTGAATAGATTTTCACACAATGGTTTGTATTGGCCCCGAATATATTTGTATAATGCTATCATATCCCCTCTCAGGCGACGTTTTTCTAAACTAAAGAGGTTTAAATTTGTTAACCTTTCTTCATAGATGATATGTTCCATTCCTTTTATTAATTTTATAGCCCGCCTATGCACTTTTTCTAGTGCCATAATATCCTTCTTTAGAACAGGTGCCCAAAATTGGACAGCATATTTAATATGTGGTCTTACCAGTGATTTATAAAGTGGCAAAATGATATTGTCATCCCGAGAATGAATGCCCTTTTTCATGCATGACAATACCTTACTGGCCTTAGCTACTGCTGATTGACATTGCATATTGTTGCATAGTTTGTTGTCTATAACAATTCCCAAGTCCTTTTCATGTGTAGTTATCCCTAATTCGCTTCCATTAAGGATATACGTTACTTGTGCATTCTTTGCATTTTTCAACATTAAATTTCATCTGCCATTTGAGTGCCCAGTCTCCCAGTCAACCTAAATCTCTCTGCAGCAAGGTAATATCTTTCTCACATTGTATTACTTTACAGAGTTTTGTGTCATCTGCAAACACTGAAACATGACTTTCAATGCTTTTTTCAAGATCATTTATAAACATGTTAAATAGAAGCGGTCACAGAACAGAACCCTGAGGGACATCACTTGCCACCTCGGTCCAGCTTGCATGTGCTTACACGCCTTAAGCATTCGATCTTAGTTTACCTGTAACCTTTGGGGTAGTTAAGTCGAGGATGTCCATTGTTTGCTACATAGGGCGGTACAATGGTATTTAGAATTAGAGTAGTGGTACAGAGGGGGCTGGAGGGGGGTGGGGAGAAAGGGAGGGGGAGATGTATGACCTGCTGTCGGGGGGAGGCAGGAGTCTGTTGAAGAGGGGTAGCTGCTATCCCCCTGAGCGGGCATGGAGTTCGGACTCAGGAGTCAATATAGTCTTCCCACGGTTCCCATACTTTGAGAAAGTGTGTGTATGTGTCTCGTACCTGTGCCGTGAGTTTGTCCATGAGGAAGGCTTCTTTAATGTTGCCTATTACTCTGTCTATGTGTGAAGTGTCTACCTGGAGCCATGTCTGCGCCAGGGCGCGTCTGGCTGCCAGGTTAATTTTGTTTACAAGTTTTTGCTCTCTATTAGGAAGGTTGTCAATCGGTTTGGCTAGTAGGCAAGTCCAGGGGTCAGGCTGTATTGTTTTTTTCAATATTTCAAGAGTTTAGTTATGTTTTCCAAGTATTGGGAAACTTTTGGGCAAGTCCACCACATGTGGAGGTATGTACCCTTGCCCCCACAGCCTCTCCAGCACACATCTGAGGGTGTTTTACCCATTCTGTGTAATTTGACAGGGGTGGTGTACCACCTCATCAACGTTTTGTAACACTGTTCTTGGTGAATGACGCATATTGAGGACTTGGTAGCTGCTTCCCATATGTCTTGCCAATCCCCACTATCTAGGGTTTGTTGGAGTTCAGCTTCCCACTGCAATATGTAAGAGGGTGTTTGGGATTCTTTTGTGGGTGCACTTAGTTGCTCATATAAGCGAGTGATGAGGCCGGCACGTGGTCCATCAGACACACATAATGTTTCATAAAATGTGGGCTTTACTCTGGCCGCTGCTGCTATGTTGGGTTTCTTAGCAAAATCTCGAAGTTGGAGATATCAAAAGTAGTCTTTGTTGGTTAGAGGGGCCCTGGTTTTTAGGTTACCAAAGGTGTGAAATGTACCATCCTGAAAAAGGTGGCAGTAGCGTTGTTCTCAAGGCCTCAGAAGTCCGTAGGGGTCATGCCTGGGGGAAAGGCTTTGTTTCGGAGGTAAGGTGTCAGTGGTGAGATAGGGTGTGTGAGAGCATATTTGTGTGCTGTAGCATTCCAGATCCGAATTGAGTTTAGGATGGCAGGGCAGGAGGTATGTAGCTCTGGGCGATCGGGTCTCGGAACCCATATCCAGTACTGGGGTAGGTCGGTGCTCATAAGGTGCGTTTCTAGTTCAACCCATCTGTGTGTGTCTGGTGGTGAGTGCCATTCTATGATTTGTGGTAGATGAGCTCTCCAGGTAGTAGAGCCCTAGACCCCCTCTGCACTTTGGGGTATACAGTGTGTGTCTTGTTATTCTGTGCCTCTTCCCAGCCCAGATGAAATTGTCAATTGCAGTTCGTAGTGGTTTAAGATCATTTTTTCATTTTTAGTTACTGCTAGGGGTAACGCCTAGAAGATGGAGGAGGCGCGGGAGAAGGTTCATTTTAATGGCATGCAACCTTCCTAGCCATGAAATGGGCTTGTCATGCCACCTGTCTAGGTCCTTACGTAGGGTGTTTATTAGTCTTTGGTGGTTTTCTGTGTACAGGTCCGCGTAGTTTTGCGTGAGCTTGACACCTAAGTATTTGATGGGTTGTATGCTAATTTTTAAGGCTGTTGTACGTTGCAGCCATTGGATGTCTGTGTCTGAGAGCCCTATCGGCATACCAACTGATTTGTCTATGTTGATTCTGTATCCAGATACCTGTTGATACGTGTCTAGAATATTGAGGATATGAGGAATAGTTTCTCTAAGGTCTGTAATGGTAAGTAAGATATCATCGCATATGCCAAGATTTTAAATTCCTCGGTTGCAACCTGTACCCCCTTTATCCTGCTGTTTGTTCTCATTAGATGCAGTAGGGGTTCCAACGCCAGGATGAATAGGAGGGGAAGAGGGGGCACCCTTGGCGGGTACCGTTTTTCAGTTCAAAAGGAACCGGCTGTGACCCTGGGATTAGCATTTGCACTCTTGGGGCTGTGTATAGAGCTTGGGTTGACCTTATGAACATGGCGGGAAGGTGCATTTCCTCGAGGAGAGCAAACATGTAGGGCCATTGAATTCTATCGAAGGCCTTCTCTGCGTCCAGAGATAGGACCAGAGAAGGCGTTTGCTTCTTGTTAGCCCACCATATTACGTCCACTGCTCGTCTCGTGTTTCCGTGGAGTTGTCTGTTAGGGACGAAACCCACTTGATCTGCATGGACAAGTTTAGGGAGGATGAGAGTGAGTCTAGCGGCCAGGATCTTTGCATACACTTTAAGGTCAAAATTGATGAGGGAGATGGGACGATAGTTTGCCACATTAGTGTTATCTCTGTCAGGTTTGGAGATTAGGACTACGTCTGCTGTGAAGAGGTCAACGTTAGGTGAGTCATTGTCCGTCCAGGTTTTGTACATGGTGGCTAGGTGGGGGATCAATTGTTCTCTGAAGGTTTTGTAGTAGGAGCAGTCAAACCCATCTGGGCCTGGGGCTTTTTCCCCTTTAAGGTCCGTGATGGCTCTGTCTATTTCATCGTTTTCTATGGGTGCTCGTAAGAGCGCGGTTGTGTGTGCGGGGAGTCGCGGCAGTTTAGTTTTTTTCCGCAAGAAATCCGTGATTTGTTCCATGTGTGTTCTATTTGCTGTCGTGTCAGGGAGTGGTTGTACACTTGGGTATAAAATTTAGTGAATTCGTTGTCCCTAGGAATGTTAAGAATTCGCCCCTGTGTGTCTTTGATGGCGGTGATGTTGGATTCTGTGGGTTTAGGTCTGAGGGCCTGAGCTAGCAGTGTATCCATTTTATTGGATTTTTTTCATTAAAGAAACATTTGGTGCGAATCATATCTCTGATTACGTCATCTAACATGAGCTCTCTAAGTTGTCGCTTAATGTCTGTCAGTTCCCTAGTTGTGCGTGGGGTGGCCCTTTGTTTATTTTGCATTTCGGTCTTACGCAATAGCCTCTGTAGCTCTAATAGCTTTTCAAGTTTTTTCTTTTTTAAGTGTGTGGTTGTTTTAATGAGCAGTCCCCTAATCACAGGTTTATGAGCTGCCTATAGTG